TTGTTGTTATTGTTGTTGTTATTGTTGTTTTATAATTGTTGTTTTTAATTTTTACAATTAACCTCCCTGTGGTTCGACCTCGGTCTTGCCGGGTTATTTATTACTTCGACACTCCTGCACTTGGGAGAAGACATCAATCTTTTCGTCGTGTCAGTAGGCTAAAGTCTTTTCTTGTAGGCATGTAAGTAAGCTTGCTTTAGAGCTTTTGGTTCAAGCATTTTCACTAGGTTTATGATTATCACCTCTGAACCCCCCATGAAAAACAATAAAGCTTAATTCTTATTAATTTTAGCTTAATTCTTGTTAATTTCTTCCTTGTTCTATAGCATAACAAATTCTTTAATCTAAGCCTTTAGATCTCCAATTTCCTTAAGATCTTTAAATTTTTCTAGTGGATCTTTCTAACCCCTCCCCCCCTCCAAACTTACAACATATTACTTTTATATGTTATCCTCAAGCCACCACTTAGCTACCTTTATTTCTCATAAAGTTTTAATACTAGTAAAAGGACATTCCATCAAGATAGTATAGGATTAACTTAAGCTTCTCAAAATCAACAACTTCTTCTATGTTAAAACACTAGTTTCACTTGTATAATCATTTTTGTACATCACCATCAAAGTTAAAGAAATCCTGTTTAGATTTATATACCTTATAAAGGTAGTAGTTACCTTCACAAGTCTAACGTGATCTTGCAGTAGATCCCACTTGATTAGACATTTAATTATATTTTATTGTACTTGTTTTTATGATAGAATGGTTATAGTTTGTATATAAAAGAGCTTTGTTGATAAGATAACTCATTGATAAGCTTTTTAAGCTTTCCAAACTTGGCTTTATAGGTAGACTTAATATCTTTCAGTTGTTGACCATATAACTTTAATAGTTTTATAATATATTCATACTTTTATGATTATTCTTTACTTATAGATTTTAAGGATTCTTCCGGCCTTTTAAGATCTTAGGATCAAGTGTCAGGAGTCATAACCCACACCCAAATACCAATAACTCTTATACCACTTTCTATAAGTTAGATTGAAATAGATCCAATTAGGATTTTATCTAGGTGAACTTAAAGAATGAGAGGTTAACAGCTAACCTCAAGAAGATAAGAGGGAATATTTTGTTAGAAAGAATCGAAAGAGAGAGAGAGTTCACATAAATTTTCATCATTCATTCATTGTTGTATTCTTTCTTTCTTTTTTCTAATTTTATTACAAATTCTTATATGAAAAAATAACTACCTATATTCTCTCTTTTGGCCACACATGAGATTCTTTTTTAACAAACTTTGTACTAATTAAAACATAATGTATAGCTATGAAAATAAATCCTAATGATAATGTTGTCTCACAATCATTTTAATTTGAAAACAAACCCTTTATCTGGTGAATGTTCTTCCTTCCCTTAGTATATATCTTTGCCAGATTCAACTTGTGACAAGTTCACACCCTCTCTAGTTATGTTTTTGGTTTTTGAAGTTTTTCTCTCATTAAATGAGCACTATAGAGAGAAATTGCAGGGAAAGAAAGAGAAACTCTCTCAACAAAGTGGAAAGAGGTGTTAGTTACTTCCAGCTAAAATTATTTTTTTAATATGAACTTTTTCACAATAACACCCTTGATGAGGGAGATTTTTCTGTTTGTTTAGGATTATTGAGTGTTAAGATTGGGAATATCATGGTCAAATTAGGTTAGGTTTATTAATAATTGAGCAGTCGCATGAGATGTGTGATGAGTTAAAAGTTTATCTCATAGTTGATTGCTTTTTTCTCCACTAAATTTTTTGAAATGTTTTTTTTTTTATTTTAATAATGCCCCTATTTATGAAAGGTATTTGTTGATTTATATTGGGATTTTATGGTGTTAGAATTTAAGGATACTATTGTCATTTTCTTAGCTTGTGTTTGTTAGAGATGGACACCTATGAAATGGGCAATGAGTTAAGGTTTATGTAAACCATTAAATTGTGATTTGACTGATAAAATAGTTAGTATAATTATCAAACTTGGCTTATCCGAAAGGTTGATCCCATGACCCATTTATCTAAAACCTAACTTAAGCTAAGTTTGATTTGAAACCACTTAGAGAATTGACTTAATTAAACTTATTTTACTCAATCAAAACTCATATGAAACTAAGCTAATGATTTTATTTTTTTTAATGTCAATCTTGATGTTATTTCACTTTTTTTTATCATCGTAAATCCTAAAATGATATCATTTAAAAAAAATAATAGATTTAGATTAACCAAGACTATAGTGATAATTCATAATATTTTATTGGCTTTTTACCCTTAATACTACTACAGAGAAAATTCTACTGATTTTAAAATAAATAAAATGGTTTTTGAAAATGATAATTGTAGTAATTAATGTTATGATAAATTCTCATTAAATAATACCAATAATTACTTAATATTATGAGTAATTAATAACTACATAATCAGTACTTAATTCTGGGATGTAAGCTAAAATTTGTATGGTGATCATATAAACACTATACTTAGATTGAAATAGACTTAAAAGGAAATAATTGCATTTGCAAGGATCATGTGCCCAAAAGTGCAAATAGAGGAAGTCACATTCAATTATAATTAATTTTGTAATTGCTATTTATTAAGTAAAATTGTCAAGAAATTTATGAAGCAAGCTTTGAATATTTAGTCTAATTTAAAAGTTATCAAGTCATTATATAAAGTAATTAGCATCCAGTGAGAATTAGCAGGTAAAAAGCAACAAATGGGAGCTTGCCACATTATCATCCAATGGAAATGATAAAACATCCTGTGTCCGTGGAAGTCTAGTCATGTGTTTTCTCACTCAGATTTCCTCCTAGGCAGTTTATGGTAGCTTGACATTTTTGCAAGAATAATGCATCTCTCCATGACTTGATATCCACGCAGTAGATTACATTCATATTAAATTTAACACTCTTACTATAAAAACCCAACATCCTAGCTTATCCCTAAGTTTTTCTTTCTGAGCATTTCCATCAAAGTCTTTCTTGATATTCTGATTACCAAGTTTTGATCAGCAAACATAAGCTAGCTAGCCATGAATCTCAGACAAGCCCTGGACATATGTTCCTCTCTTCCCTTTCTGGGGTGTGTTGTAGGAACCCTTTTTCTACTTTTCACTTCTTATGGCTCAACTTCACCTAGTGACAGCCCCTTATTGACAGATGAGGTAAATGATCACCAAGCAGCTGCTAGTAACAGAGCAGCCCAGAAGCATTTCCAGCAAATTCAACATGTCCGCGGAGCTTAGTCAGATTTTTCTAGCTCAACTGAGCCTTGTTGAAGATAGTTTAGCAGCATCTGCTGTTGTGCATGTCATACTGGTCAACTGGCCCTGCAACCTTGTGCTATCCAACTTTATATTTCATCCACTTTTGTGCCTGTTCATTGTTTCTTATAGCTTAATTAGGGCTAGAAATAACTAGGTGTTAGCTCAAGGGTAACAATGTCATTGCATATGACTAGTCAAGTTGAAAAAACCCCTTTCAACTGAAGGACCCTGTATTAAATTTCTTTACCAAGAGTAAATATTTATATAAAACAAGTTGTCTTCTTGTACTTTTGCCTACCTAATGCTCCACGAAACCTAAAGCTTGTGGAATAACTTTCTGCTTTATTTTCTCTATTAATTAAGATATTGGTTTTGGAGCAGGTGAGATGACAGTCCCCATCAGTTAGGCAATTTCATCTTGAATCACTTGTGATTTGCTTTTAACAGTGTTCTTGACTCTGTCAGCACTGGCAATTGTAAATATGGCTCCAAAACAACACATTCAGTGTAGTTCTTGAAGATTTTTGGTGCCGATGAGTGATGTCGCCGTAGGCCAAAATCAAATTGTTGCCATTGCTATGTTATACAATCTAAAACTCCGGGAAACAAATGAACTCTCTTGGACATGTATTTGCAGAAATATAATCATCGCATGCTTGTATCATAAGCATTATTTAGATTTAGAAAACGTAGACATGCAGCAGGCAGAAGAAACTCATACAAACATGATGATACAAAACAAAACTAGGCCACCATATATTACAACTGTGGTGATCTTCATAACTGATTTGTTTGATCACTTGTTAGATACAACTTCTGGCCATCATCGATCATGTCTACTTCAAGAATTTTACCAGCATCTTCTGATAATATACAAGAACCATCTGGAAGCTGTAGCTTCTCTGATGCTGCTTTTACAAGCTCTTCCATGGTGTGTGGGATCCATAGCACTACTCCAGGTCTTCTCTGTTCTTTTGCACCCCATGGGTGGAAAGGGAAAATTGTACATTTCTTTGGGAGCATTTTTTCTGCAATTGGCAGTATCAGATGAAATTAACTTCACTATGACAAAATGCAAATCCTGTTCTCAGTCATCTAAAAACAAGCATTACTAACAAAAACAAAATGCCCATCTCCTCTGTTATCGGCATCTCAAATGTGGTTGCTAGATCAATCACCAACAATTGCTTCATTCAGCTACATTCTAACAAAGTGGTGGACCCGAAAAGAAGACAGGGTGGGTTCAAGTAGAACAACCCTGTTTTATACCAGACATTTTAGATTGGCTAATTACAGAATCCAGATATGATGGGAGAAATCATCACAGTTCAAAATGCAATTCTGGTTCAGTGCATCTACATAAAATAACAACCTTGGGCAGACCAAACCATTCTGATAATTTTCGACTAAATCTTTTCCCCACAGGCTGTTCTTTATATTAGTATTAGATCAATTATTCTTTGTAATTCTTTCATGAGTCTTATCTCAACAATCTGTTTGGAAGCCATATTTTACAAGCTTTTTGTCGTAGTATTTGGAATATTTTCAAAAATTTCATTTTCTTTGAGCATAATAGAAGCTGTCCATAGAGTAGTGGAAATACCTGTGGTTTCATGGGAGGCATAATGAAATTCCAATTTCTGGGAAGATTTTGCTTCTTCTAACAGCTTGATCAAATTCTTGTTCCCACAGATCCGGCCTTCAACAAGTGGAGTGTTACCCCATCTATGGAGTTGAAATACGCAAGAAAAGGTCAGTGATCAGAACAGCGTTCTCGTTCTCTAAAAATCATTTTAAAATGTCAAGAGTGTCTTTATATAACTGTAAATGAAAGTCAAATGCACTGCCCCGTTTGTCACTATTCAGATCATAAAGAGAAAGGAAGAGAAGGAAAGGTTGAAAAAGCTCTAATAAAAGAATCCCTTGATTAGTAAGTTCCAGAGTTCTCATTTCCCCACCCATCTACTTTCAGGATGCATCAGATCTTTGCATTATTCATATATCAATAAGCCTAAATTACTAGGAAAATAAACCCTAAATTAATAAAGTGAGCCTGGTGCGTATATAAATAGCCCTCAAAGTAGATAACTGAAATGCAAGCATATCTAGTTAGAAAATGAGCGAAATGAATTTCAGGTCTACCTGTCCTTCGAGAAAACACTAGCACCAGCTTCTATCAGCAGCTTTGCCATCAAATATAATCCTTCTGATGCAGCTACATGAAGTGGAGTCCGGTGATCATAGTCTTTAGAGTTCGGATCAATTCCATTGGACAAAACCCTTTTGAGAAAATCTGAATCCCCTCTTGCAACAGCTCTACACAGAACACTCCCAGCATCATCTATGTTCAAGATGGCCCCTTGTTCAGAAAGTAAAGATGCAACTCGATCATGTCCATTCTTGATAGCTTCCAACAATGGTGTGTTTCCAAATTTATCTGTACAAGAAAAATATTAATAGTATTAATGAGCAATATGTCAATAAAACATCAAACCACCAACAGAAGTATTATAGCCCGTCAATCACCAATATAAGTAAATTACCTTTGATGTTAATGTCAACTCCTTCTTGAATAAGGAAACGTATGGTATCTTCATAACCTCTAGATGCGGCAAGATGCTGTTGAATACAAAGGTTATTGTCAGATAAAGCAATTTTTTCATCCTCTGTAATCTACCCTTATGACATATAAACTTGCTCACATACTGGGAGAAATAGCTTGGAAGCAAAAAAAATAAAAAATGCACCAATTTGCAAACATATGGCACAAATTATAGCAGAGTTCATCCATCTCTGGAATTAGGCCGTGTCAAATGTGCCAGCATAAGAAGTGTTATTTTGATGATTCAGACTCACATAAAAATGAAATAAAATGAGATCAATCATATACTTGAGCTTTGTGTATACCAAGGGTGATCTTCCATCATAATCTGTTCTATTGGGATCAGCACCTGCTCGGATCAAGCCCTTCAGCTGATAAAGATCTCCATGATAAGCTGTGCTATTCACCCGCAAAGCAAGTTCAGCTTCTTGCTTCCCAATATGAAATGTAATATCTGATTCCAACTGCTTATATTGAAGATTGGATTCTTTCCCCTGTCAATTTACCTTGATTTAGATCTTAATGGACATGTATTAATCCCTTGATGTCAAATATAGATCTAAAATAACTTGTTCAAATATTTTGTTATGTCTGCTGTGAGTTTTCTTTCTCCTTGATTGCTGGGCTCTTGGTCCCAAGGTGTTTAATGAATTTTCCTTGGCTTATCAAAAATAATAATATAAAAAATTGTTCAAGAATTTTGTAGATTGGCTATATAAATAATCTGATATTGATTTCAAAATAGAGTGGAAGAAAAAAAATAGAACATGACTATGAGTTAGAGGAAAGCGCATATTGACAGGGTTGAATTACCTCTAAAAGGTTGTCCAAGATTCTGCGTCCATCGTAAAAGTAAATCTCAAGTATATTTGATAAAGATTGTTTATCAATCCGTAAAAGCCGACATAACTCACAAACTCTAACTGTATAAGGCTGCGGAATGTTGCAAAGAATAGAAATTTCTCCAAATGAGCTGTTAGGAGGCAAAAGTTTGACAGTTTCTTCTGATCCATCTTGCCCTATTGCAACCTCTTCCTGCACCAAGGAGAAAAAAGGAAGTGATCATACAAATGTGTTCAAACATGACGCTACATATCCTATGCATACCACTCAAAAATTAAAATTTTGGAACCACCAGGATTCTGACAAGGAAGTTGATCCAATAGTTAAATAACAGCATGCATCTGTAACAGTCCCAGTCCCAGTCAATGAGAGGCTAAATCCGAAAGCACCACCACAGTAACAAATCATAGTTGAAATTCTTATTTTTGTCAGAATATGATAAATCAACAGGCAGAATCAATTTTGAAAGCAAGTTACAGTTTTAGAATTATAACATCCCAAATATGCTCCTCATACTAAACTATTTAAGAACCAACGAAACAGGAGAAGCAAAGAGAAGCTATGGATAACCAGATGTTGAAACTGAGTGACCGTTCGATATGGAATCATACCAGCACACCATGACAGACAAAATAAAGTTGATCTACCACGTTCCCCTGTTCCATAATTACTTCTCCTGGGAGAAAGAACTCCTCGTGAAGCCTAATGACCTGCAAGAACAAATGAAAAGGAAAGATGAGAATAACAGAGCTGAGGCTCCTACAATGTATGAGTAGCATTGCAACAAAACACACAACATGGAGAATAAGGGTGAGAAAAATAACAAGTGTTAGAATATGAGGATGTAAGACCAAGCAATGCTCTAAAGCAGAAAATTTGACAAAAAAGAGGAAGATTCAAAAGGAAATGAATAGCGACTCTACAAGAGGACAACAGAGACTACCAGGAACTTAAGAAAATAACGGAGGAAAAAATCGTTAATCCAACCAACTCCATCAAGTGATCAAATTTTTGCTTAATTTTCACAACTACATAAATCGAGATGCTGTTTCACAATCTAGCCTTGCATACCAATATTGTTGGCTCTTGAGTGTAATAGACCATTTATCAACACCAAAACATATGCCACGTTTTCTGCAAAATAGCCTCTCGAAATGTTTTTTTTCCTTGATGAATGAATCTGTGGATTGTTGATAAACAGATAGATTGAATATCACATATGCTCAGAGTTGCACACTTTTTAATTAGTCTGCTATTCAGAAACATGTCAGGTCCACCTCCATGGACGGTACATAAAGATCAGATGATTCCTGAAAGAACAACAAACCACGAGCCTAATACAGATCTTGACCATCGATGATGTTAAAATTTAATTGAACCATTAACTTGCAATGGCGATTGGCAATGAAATCCATGATTTCACTGAAACAAGATGTAGCATTTTGAGCTTTATTAGTTTATTGTTGCTACACCATTTGGAATTTCCCCGTTTTCTTAACTTATTTATCACCAGTGGAACACAATATGCCAAAGGAAAAGACTTACAATTTGATTAATAAATTCGGCAGAGCAATCCTTAACCAAGGGAACCTTTTCAATATATTCTGTGTACAAAGTTTGGGAAATCTGCAAGCAAAGAATAATCATCAAATTATTATAAGTGAGACAGATATCATGAGAGCTGCAAAAAGTATAGCAAACTATCTGTAGAGAAATGCAGTCTTTTAAAAGGAGACAAGGTGTAAAAGAAAATGATGCCGGAGCCACCTCTTTCTGACAATTATTTGTGAATTTTTCACTAGTAATTATTGGCATGGTGTGGCTCTTTAACGAAACTAAATGATACTTTATCCCAAGAAATAGAAGGTTCTCCATATTAATTTTGGAATAAGGGGACAATTATGCTTTGCTTTCCCACGTAGCTTGAAACATCACCTCATGATTTTCTGCACTCCTCTTTTTCCCTAAAGCTCAATGTCTGTATCCATGAACTCCAATATAATAATAATAAAAAAAAGGTTTAATGGGGAAAAAAAGGAATCTCTCAACATGTTCTTTACCTTAGCACGAATAGAGATGGGGAGATCCTGCAGTGCAGAAGCCTCAGTATAGCTACTCTCATACTGTAAGCGCAAATGGCCTTTAATCTGACTACGGATGTCCTTTCCAAGTCTATTTCTATTCATATATTTGATGAGATCTGTCATTTTATCTCTGAACTTTTCTGTCTTTGAACCTTTTACTATTAATGCTGTCATATTTCCGATCAAATAAGCACCGAGAATCATGTCGAAGGACACAAAGATCATTACAAATATCATTTCCCTCAAGTTAACAGCATGTATATCTCCATACCCTGTGGCAAAAACAGAAGGCTTATCAGGCAGTAGTGAAGACTCCAACAAAACATAGGTATACAGCAAGAGAGAATCTTCAAACATGGCAAGTGTACGAATATGGTATCTTAACTGAAACCTTCTGCTCTTACTGGTGAGCATAAATAAAAGGAATCAAATACAACGAAGCAGTGTAAAATCAAGCAAGAACACTTCACAGAGATGGGACATAAATGATTATGGCATTCCAGTAGCTTTCTGAAATAGCATACTCCATGCCTCTTGTGTTTGACCCCATGGGTCAAGAATTCATCGTGGAATTATCTCACTAAATGTTTAGCTACTCTTTATTATGGAAAGCGAAAGTTCATATGCAGAAATACCCAAGTCAATTTGCCAGTCATATGTTGACATAAACCAAAATGAGGAAACTGTAAAGCTTCAGGTTGTGTTAATAGAGTATAATGTAAAGAAGGAACTCACCAACGGTGGCCATAGTGACGACGGCAAAATATAAAGATGTTGTGTAGCGCATCCAAATATCGATCTCCCTGAAGTTTGTATAATTATAATCACCCAACTTCAAACTTCCAATCCATGTATACCCTTCGTGAGAAGCTGGCATGGTGGTAGCCAAATAGTAAAAGATGCAGGCTGCGGTGTGTGTGCAATAGAGTTCTACTACTATAAGCTTTACAATCCTCGTAAAGAGGTAATTAATTCGTGTATCTTTCTCCAGTTTTTGGAAAAAAGAAGTTACTTTCCGCACCCTGCTCAGCCTAATCCATAAAAGATACCTCACTTCTTCTCTACGTCCACAAACCTGTATAAAAGGAAAATCCCAGAATGATTATGAGACCTAGACTCGATTAGCATTGTAACATGCAAATCTTCAGGTATCCATGATCTACAACAATTTATTTCTCCACCCTATGTTCATTCTGCATTTCAGAAAATGTTCTATTATGCTTCTAGAGCAACAGATACCTTGAAGATGATGTCCCAAGGCAGGCAGCCAAGTAAATCAATGATGAAATGAGATTTCAAGTACCTGCAACAAGAGCATAAAAGAAGAGAAAGTGACACACATACAAAATATTCAAGAGAACCAGTCCCAAATCAGGGCAATTAAGCACTTGGATTCATGTCACTTAGACAGTGAACACTGATGAATCCACACTGAACATCATTCAACCAAAAGGCAAGCAAAGAAGGATTTGCATGAGACAGTAGATATGCAGACAAGAGAGAAACTAACCGAAGAGCAATAGGTGAGCGCTTATAGATCATACGATAAGTCTGACTGTCTCTGTAGGCAACGAAGAATTGTAAAATGATATCAAGAAGAAAAGCAACCTGTCCAACTATGTCCATTATGAAGAGATTCTCAGGCAATCCCCTGAAGAAACCAAACTCCATTGGTGTAAAGAAGGAAGAGTACACTGCCCATAATAGTATAAATATTGTCCATGCACGATACCACCTGCATTATTTTAACTGCAATGTTTCATTTCTCTTCCATAAACATAAAAAATCACGCAAAAGATTAGTTTTAATTTGGATTAGATTTAACATTGAATCATTAGTTCAGAACAAAGGCTCGGCAATGCATCCAACAAGCCTGGTGCTAGGGACCCGCACTTGATGCGACAATGCTCAAATGAAACGGGACCCAAAACGTGAATCCACCATTAAAACAGCGTTTGTAAATGCAATTCAACTTATATTTTTTAAAAATTTAAATTTAAAAAAAATTAATTTTTTTATATTTTAAAATATTTTAATATTTTTATTTTAAAAATATTATTTTAATATATTTTAATATAAAAAATATTTTAAAAAAATAAATATAACTACACTCTCAATCAATCAGGTACTAAAAAAATGACTGTAACAGCTGTTGTGGTAAATTAAATAAAACAAATGTCATCATGCCATCAATCTGGGCATTTCCTAGCCGTACGATCAGCCCCATCACAATCAGAAGTCAGAGAAGTGACGAGACTGCATTACACTCTACCCAGTAATAGCCTCCCACGTGCATGACAACGGCCGGAGTGACGGCTTCGCCATATAAAAAAATCATTTTCTTCATAAACTAGGTTTATAATAATACATTAACTATTTGATTGACACCTGTTTGTGAGATAAAGATTTTTTAAAAAATGTTTTTTAAATAATTATATATAATATTAGTTAAAAAATAAAAATATTTAAAGTTTATATATTTTTGTTTTTTTAACTAATATTATGTATACATAACTCACTACTAATCTTTAAATATTTTTATTGTTTTAACTAATATTTTGCATATATAACTCACTGCTAATAATTATAAATGGAAAGTTAAAAAAAAAAAGTTAATTGATCAAATGCTAGCTTTTGTTAAATAAAAAAATCAAAATCAAGGAAACAAATTATAAATATAGAAAAATAGATATTTAAGGAGAAGAAAAGGAATGACTGACCAGTTATCGGGATGGATAACGGGACCTGTGGAGACGTAACGAATACCATTAATAACCGATTCACGACTCAGTTTTCTTCTCAAATTTGTAATCAACGATGACTCGGTATTATTAACGAGTCCAAACTCATTCTCTATCAAATTAAATCGACTCCCTCTTGATGATTTTATCCTGTCTCTCAAATCTTGCACTTCGTATTCCATTTCATCTTCATCATCATCATTATCGGATTCTTTCTTGTTTCTCTCTCTATGATGATCACCACCCATGCTGTTATTCAAAGCAACGTCCCTTTTGAGAGCTTTAACCATGAAAAGATCGATCAACTGCCCTTTGGAGGGAGGAGGAGGAGAGAGCTCGAGAGGGAGAGGGTTAAAAGGGTGCAAGTTGAGGAATGGATGGTGCTTTTTTTGAAGGAATCACGAGGGAAATATGAGAGTGAAATGACGTTGGAGAAATGGAGGGTTTGGAGGAGATCTTTGAAAATGGGGTTATAAATTGGATTGTTGATGATGATGATGATGACTGGAAGATGGTGATGGGAAGTTTTGTGATCGGAGATCATGAGGCTATTTATATACATAAAGTTATGTGCTGCTTGATGACATGCATTCTTTTAAATATTTGTATTTACGATAATGTTTAATGTCATAGTTTCTAAGCTGTTAGAGTGCTTACTTTATATTACAGATAGAAACTTGACCATATAAATTAATTTTTTATTTAAACAGTAATTTTTTTTCCCCTTAGCCGTTGACACAAATGAGTTTGAAATAATTTTGACCATATAAATTAAATTATAGACTAAATTTAGTATTTTTTTTGAAAAATAATTAAGTTTTAGCTAGTTATTGCAATTTTATGCAATGATAATATTTTATTTCTTTAATTATTGATCCAAATAGATTTTATATAATTAATTAGGTCAACTAAATCATTAAAATCAGTCAAATTAAATAAGTGTTTTAAATTAATTTATTATCTAATTTAATTAAAAACTGAGTTCAAAACAGATTCTTTATCTTAGAGCTTTTTAATATTTTTTAGTTCAATCAATCAAGCTTATAAAGCTTTAATAAATATGCTTTGAATGTAAAATAATATATTGATATGGTTATCAACCTATTGATTAATTAATTAAAGTATTGATTAATCTATATATATAAACCAGTTGAAAGATCTTGCGTGGATACTGTGACGTTAAAGGAATGTCGGATGTGTTTATACTTTGTATCAAGCTCACAATCGAGGAGAGAAATGCAATTGTTATTTGAATGAAAGTGGCTTTTGATCTTACGGTGGAGGCTAAAATTAGGATGGGGACCGTTTATTTCATGAAAAAATGATTTTTCATTTTTTTTATATTTTTTAATATTAAAATATTAATAGAAAAACACTTTTTAAACAAAAATAATTCATTTGCCTTTTAAAAAGGTATTTTTCTTTTATTTTGAACATAATATATTTTTTAAAAGTTATGAAAAAATCTAAACTTGATTATATTAAATTTAATTATTAATCTGTTAATTACTATATATTTTATTTCGGATATATTTTTATTTATTTATTTATTTATTTATTAAAATTTAATTTTTATATCAATTTTAGATGTCGATTGTTATCTATTTTTTTATTTATTATTTTTTTAGTTGAAATTGTTTATATTTTTCTAGTTTGATTTTTATTTTTTTATTATTTATTTAATTTAAAATAATTAATGAAATTGAATTCTTTTCAATTTTATTTTTTTTAACTTCTTATCTATTGGATTTTATCTTTATTCTTTTGACTACTATTTATTTTATTTGTAATAATTTATAAAATTAGAGTTTTTTTATTTCATCTTCCTTCAACTTTTTCACTTGTTATATTTGATTAATTTTTTTTATTGTTATTTATTTTATTTAAAATTAAAATTTTTTTAATTTTATTCTTTTTTAATTTTTTTAATTTATTAATTTTGGCCTTCATTCTTTTAACAAACTTTAAAATATAAAATATTAATAAGTTATTTTTCAACTTATTTTTCATGATATTATTAAATATATAAAAAAAATATACTTTTAGAAATTTACTTTCTATAAAAAATATTTTTAAAAAAATAAATTATTTGTAAATAGATTTTGCCTAAAAAAAGATTTTTTTTTCTCCTAGAATTAAAAGAAAAAAAGAAAAAAATTTAAAAAAAAAAAGGTACAAGGATGCTCTCAATTATTGTGAAATTAAATAAAGAAGTGTCACACCATGCTCACGTCAAGGACACTCATTTATTATCTGGCTCTCACCATGTGAAAGTATTTATAAATAGAAAATGATTGATTTGATGAATCAACAGATTAAGTTTTGTGAAGACATTATAATTTTCTTTCACTCGTGTGATTTTCAAAAATTTATTATTAAACTTGAACAAGTAATATAAATCAACTTGATTAACTTGTTGGACCATTCCTTGTCTAAATCAGATGTTAATTAAAATAAATGGTAATTATTTAGTTATTATATAATTTGATTAATTTTCGAAAAATTTTATTTTATTTTAAAAAATTAAAATAATATCATTTAAACTTTAAAAAAAAATTAAAATAACATCATGTCAGCTTATTTATCTTGATTGATGTGATAATAAAACTATGTTTAGAAATTTTATTTATATAGCATTTTTAACTTAAAGATTTATCTTTATTTTAGATTCATCAATTAAATATTAAATTTATTAATTAATATTTGATAAATATTAAAATTAAATAAATATTTATTAATAAATTAAATAAATTCATATAAATAAATTCAATATCACGTATTAACAATAAACCACAGGGTATAAACATTAACAAATTTCATGATAATACAAAAATCGAAAAGAATAGAAAAGAAAAAAAAATGTGACTCCATGTATAGAACCTAGAATGGAAATACCATCTTGTACCATAATATGGAAATTGTGAATTGTAATGTATTTATTATAATTTAGCAACCAAAATAGAATTATTTTCGGCTGAAATTAAGTATACTATTAAGGTGAGAATTTTTCTTATTTTTTGTATTTTTTTTTCATTATTTTAGTTTTTTGTCATTATTTTTGTTTAATTTTGTGTTTTTAGTAATTTTATGAATTAATAAATAAGTTGAAATTTAGTTGTTATTGAAATAATTTTTGTGTTATTTTGTTGAATTTTAGTTATTTTTCTCAAATTTGTTGTTTAATTTCAATTAAATGTGCAAGATTGATTTTAATTATTATTTTTTATTTATTCCATTTAGAATATTTTTTTAAATTTAGTATTAAAAATATTATCACTTATAAATAATTGTGTTGAATTTTAGTTGTTATTGTAATAATTTTTGCATTATTTTGTTGAATTTTTCTTCAGTTTTGTTGTTCAATTTCAATTAAATATATAGAATTAATTTTAATTATTATTTTGAATTTTTTTAAATTTAGATTTTTTTTTGTAAATTTAGGATTAAAAATATTGTCATATAGAAAATGAAAATTTTCTATGAAATTGAATTATGCTATATTGTAGAAGAAATTGAATAAAATCAATTGATTTATGACATATATATTATGTATTTAAAATGATGTGTGGAAGGAACCTTTCAATGTAAACTTGTTTTGCTTTCACAATAACATATTTAATAATTTATGAAAAAATAATCTCATTTAACTAATATAATTTGAGGTCTTCAAACTTTGAGGCTGGAAGAATAATAGTATCATTTTTTAAATCATCGATGAATTTTTATATTAATTTGGTTAGTTTATTGAAATTATTAAATTTTTCTTTTTTAAATTATTACTTTAATGAAAAATTTGAATGAGAAAGAGTTGATTATAATGTTGCGAGGAAAGTTTAGGAGAATCCTGGTATAATTAGGTAAGATCAAATTCAGGATATTTTTTTATTTTATATATTAAAATTTGTCTCATGTATGTTGCGTGATGTTTGGTACGAGGCATAAAACAAAGCTAATAAAATATGCGAAAGAAAGAGAGCTTCTAAGCTAGAATGATATGGTGGTTTGGAAGGATTTCAGACTGATGTACATCTTGAATATTGTATAAGAAAAATACATTCAGCATGTGAAATCTATTTATTTCATGCAATGATCACAGTTCGAAGCAAAAAATCTAAACCAACATGTTTACAATTCTGTTACCACATACACCGACAGCGTCGTTCCATTCGCTTCGTTTGTGAAGTAGATTGTATGAGTTTTTTTATTACATTTATTTTTTATTAGTTTTTTAGTAAATATATTTAACTGATAATATTTTTATCGTACACGCTATGGTTCTTAGATTCGAGCCAAGCCTATTAAAGCTTTTTATTGAAATACATATGCAGAGTGATGACTACCAAAAAAAGGTGCAACAGTTCGTGAATAGCCAAGCCCAACACTTTATGATATGTTGGTTTTCAACCATTTTTTTAAATTATTATTTTCTTGAATTTGATTAATTTATTTTTTCTTTTTACGATATAGATAAACAACGAATTGAAAGAGATATATGGAGATGATCCTTCAATCCATTCGAATCTCGATCTGAATTTGTGGTTAAATGTAAGATTGTCTAGTGGACCCAACAAAAATTAAATTTACAAACTCTCTATCACTACGGTTAAAAACTTGTGGACAACCAGTAGTGTTTCAACAATTGGATGCTCGCGATTACTTCCAAGTACTCAAACTCCTAAGTTTATGACGATATTAAATCAACAAGTACAAGCTCTAATAACCCATCTTAATAAAAAATATAAATAACTCACTACTAATTATGAAGAAGTTTACTGATTGATAATAGAGATAAAATCACAAATGTGTAGTACATGTACACCTCCTAATTGGCTCTATGATTCCAACAAAGACCAACCTCCCCATCTATTACCACTTATATTTTAGATTTATCATATTTAAACATATATATATATTATTGTCAAGATTATCACAAAACACCTCCATGAATATATTCCAAAGAAAATTGAAAAACTCATTAGTAGAATTATAGATTATATTTAGTTGGTGATATATTGTATTTATTAATCAAGACATTGACAAACAAATAAAAACACCTACAAACAAATTACTTATGAGATTTGTTTCCAATAAATTGTCTCTATCCATGAAACTATCAATAATATACATAAAGATGAATTATGAATAAAAGTCTCAATAAAAAGTTTTGTAGATAAAACTGATAAATCTAATCAACACCACTTTTATGAAAACCAGCACTCATTGTGCTATCTATCATACGCGCAATGATTGAGTTACTTGGACCACTAAGATTATAGTGAAGTGAAACAAACCAGGAACCACAAGCTTAACCTGCAGTGTCACAATGCACAAAGTATAACCAAGTTGCCAGGCAGCTAATGCTGCCAACAGACTTCATTAATTAAACGAT